ACGTACTAATTTTAATTCCAGACAGTACTACATAAAGTTGAAAAATTTTTAAAAAAAAATTTTATTATTTTTTAAAAATAAAAATAAAAATGATAATAAAAATAATAATAAATAAAAATAAGATAAAAATAATAATAATAATAATATAATAAAAATAATAATATTTTTTTTTTTTTTATTTTTTTATTATTATTATTTTTTATTATTATTATTATTATTTTTTTTATTTTATTCATAAGGAAGCAAAAAAAACCCGCAGAGCCTAGAGCCCCTTTGGGAAAAATCGTAAGTGGTAATTGGGTTTTGGATGCGGGGAAACGGAAGGGGTCTTTGGGGTTTTAACACCCTGTATCAAGAGCCTTTCACCGAATCAAAAACCCTCAGACAGAAAAGGGAAGGGAGGAGAGGGAGGGGAGAGGGGGGGGGGAAGAGAAAATTTTCAGAGCAGGTGTTTGGTTGTACATAACAAATTAACACAAACGAGACCAGTCTAAATCTGGCCGTCGGTATTGCTTGGGTCATTCTTATTGAAAGGGCTTGTCCCCCGTGCCACCCTTCTCCTTACCACTCCACGCCTCCAACACCTCCTCCCAAAACTCATTTTTCGTAAGATTTGTTTATTTTAATATATAAAAAAAGGTGATATACATATGCAGAACAACCACTGTTAATAAAAAAAAAATTCCAAACGATTTTGTGATCACGAAAGCTCTTGGAATTTCCATTTTTTCCAGTGGTTGTTGTGCATATTTGGGTGCGTAAAAAAAAGATTTATTTGGTCCAGGCAGGAAATCGCTCAGGTTAGTGTCTTCCCTAAAAAGAGGCCCAATACTTTCGAGGACGTTTTATCAGGATTACCAATTTGTTTTGTGTTTGGATTTGCAGGAGAACACTGGAGTTGGTCTTTTCAAAAAGTTGTTTACCAACCAAAGGAACGTATTTAATCAATGTGTCATGGGGGTTAGCGCCCACCTAAAACCCAATTGTCTAACCTAAGTAAAACTAAACATAGCCTGACCTAACTAACCTGACCCAACTTAACCTATTTTAAACCTAACCTAACTAACCTAACTAAACCCGACCTAATTAAACCAATCTAAACCCAACCTAAATAAACCCAACATAACCTGACCCAATTAACCCAATCTAACCCAACCTAAAACCCAACATAAATAACCCGACCTAACTTAAAACCCCAATCTAACCAACCTAACTAACCCAACCTAAAACCCGACCTAACTTAAAATAAACAACCTAACCCAACTAACCTAACCTAAGTAACCCCGACCTAAATTAACCTAACCCAACCTAACCTAACCCAAAATTACCCAAAACCTAGCCCAAAAACCTAACCTAAATGACCTAACTTAACTAATTTAATCTAATTAACTAACCTAAAATAACCCAACCTAACCCAAACCCAACCTAACCTTACCCAACCTAACCTAACCTAAACCAAAATAACCTAACCCAAACCCCTTTCCTAAACCCAAAATAACCCAACCTAAGCAACCTAACCTAACCTAACCTAACCCAACCTAACTTAACCCGACCTGATCATAAAAATGCAATATCACTATTGCAAAAAAAAAAAAAAATCAGTGAACGGGTGGGACTCGAACCCCTGGCCTTTGAATTTTAGGGGGCTCACTCGCCCTGGGTTGAAACCTCACCTGTTTATGATTTGTATAACCTAACCGTTTAAACCCAACTAATTTAATAAAGAAACGCAAATGAGTAGAAGAAACCCCCAAGATAAAAAAAAAATTTTTGGATATAAAAAGGGAAGGAGATTTTTAGTTTATGAAACAGAGTCCGGGGGTAGAACGTTAGGTGAGGGGGGTGAAAGTTAGTGAGGGGGGTTTAGAACGTTTGGTGAGGGGGGGGGTTTTTTTGAACGTTAGGTGAGGGGGGGTTTTGTTGAACGTTAGGTGAGGGGGGTAATTTGGTAGGGGAACGTTAGGTGAGGGGGGTTTTGAAATTAGGGGGGGGGGTAGAACGTTAGGTGAGCGGGGGGAGAAAGTTTGGTGAGCAGGAAAATTACAATGACGAGTTGTGACTTGTTCTCGACGGAATAAAGTGTTCTTCACCAAGAACAAGAATAAGCAGAATTTTAGGTGTAGACAAAGGGGAGAGAGAGAGAGAGAGAGAGAGGGGAGAGAAGAGGGGAGAGAGAGAGAGTCTGTCTTTCAGCAGGCCTTCAACATAGGGGGGATGGGGTGGCCTTACTGTTATGTACAAGGCCAAATTGTCAAAATACCCACTTGGTCCCTTCGAGGACAGCGTGAAACAAGCTTTTTTGCCACAAACGGGGGAAAGCAGCAATTACTTGGCTGTTTCCCTTCTCCAGAACTCACTCCATCTGAGTATAATACCCGGATGATCGGTATGGAACACATTCGTACAGCATAATGATGCAACGAGTAACGTCGTTGATCAAATGAAAATGCTGGCCCCCAGATGGCTCCAACTTCTCCTGTTCCCCACTTGTATTTTTAACAATTAAAAATGCTTTCAAATGAGCTGATGTAGGTAACAGCTTTAGTTTCAATAAAGTTAGGGAAACCCTTTAACCCGTAAAAGCGTCAAAAAAGTAGGGTCCTTACCCTTTTCAAACCCTGTGTAAAAAAAAAAAAAAAAAAAAAAAAAAAAAAGGAGGGGAGAGAGGAGAGAGAGGAGAGGAGGAGAGAGAGGGAAAAAGGAGAGGAGAAGGGGGAGGAAGAGAGAGAAGGAGAGCTCAAATGCAACTAAGTCAGCTTAACAGTAATACTTGGCGAAAAAAATTTCAAAAGGGCTGGTAGGATTAAATTTTTTTGGGGTTTTTAACCCCGGGGGTTAGCCCCCCAGGATAACCCAAAAAAAAAATCAGTGGGTCATCGAAGGGCTGTCTCTTTATTTTCCCTTGTGTGTCCCCAAACTTGTCTCCCGGATGCACCCAAAAGTCTACTAACACCGGTACCTACTTGCTTGTAATGAACGGGGACAACAGGGGCAAGGAAATTCCCTAATGTTTCCACCCCTTTCCAGGAATCAACCACTGAAAAATATGTGTGTGGCGGGCCTGCGTACCAAGCCAGGTACCTGTGTGAAATATGATTTACTAGCACATAGGAGTGTATCCCCTAAACGTTTGACCAGGAATAAAACATTCCGAGCTCACTTGTTAAAATAGTAGCCCTGATTAGTTAATCACCGGACATTTTAGGTCCGTGGTTGATCCCCGGTACGGGGGGAAACATTTTGGGTGTTTCCTTTAAAACATTTCTGTCCCTGTTCTCTAGGGTAATACAAAATTGTGGGTGTTTACATGCTCGGGGATATACTCGGTAAGCCCCCAGTAAAATTTTTGGTAACACTTGATTCGTTTGAAAATGACGACAACAACAAGTTTTAGAAGTTAAAATTATTGACCCTCAAGGGGAACAAACAGCTTGACAAGTACAACTCATTTTTCAAACGAAGTAGTTTTGGAAGCAGCAGTGAACAGCACCGCGTCAGGCGAGGGAAAAGGAGATATAAATGCCCTAAATTGGGGGGCCTTCAACAAATCCTCCACAAAAAGGATAAAAATCCTTATTACTGAAATGAGCTTGCACTTCCAAACTCCCTTTTACGACAGTGCGGAGATGCCGGGAATAATGTAGGCAAGAGTTTAATTCGGGGCCCGGATTAGTGTCTCACGACACAACCTTGTATACGTCCCAAAAAATGCGTAAATAATGCTCATGAACTGGGGTTTCACGGTACGAAAAGTATGTCCCGGCTACCCGTGACTTTCCTTTCCCAAAAAAAAAGGGGCTCCTTTTGGGCTCGAAAAATACAGACCAACTTTTTTTCTGCGGGCTCTTCTCGTTTGAGTGTTTTGTTTGCTTAATCTCCCGTTTCTCTTCATTTCTGTTTCAGGAAGATAAAGGTTTGAAATTCAGTATACAATTTAAGTGAACTTTCGTGAGTCACCGGTTGAAAATTGTGTTGGGGGTGTTCAGGTGACCGCATCACCCGAAAATTACTTGATTTTTTAATAGGTGAGTAATCTAGGTAACGTACCTCTCTCTCCCTCTCTCTCTCTCTCGTTGTGGACAGAGATCTAACTTTCTTTCCCTGCTTGCAATCACTCACACGAGTTTAGCGCTTTACATGAAGTGAAGGTAATAATACTGACAAGCAACTGTCCCTCTGAAACAGAGGAAGATATACGGTATTTTTATTTCATGTATTAATATATAATAAAAATATTAACTTATAAAAATAGTATTGTGTCTTTGGTGGTGTTATTGTGTCAGGTATTTTGTTGTTAGGTAAGACACATATGCAACAGTTAGGTATCTTTATTTCGAAACGTTTCGCCTACACAGTAGGCTTCTTCAGTCGAGTACAGAAAAGTTGATAGAAGCAGAAGAGACTTGAAGACGATGTAATCAGTCCATCACCCTTGAAGTTTTGAGGTGGTCAGTCCCTCAGTATTTTATACCATTTTATTGTTCACTCTGTCAGACACTGCAACGCAAGGGTATCTTGGTACAGACTTGGAACCACTTCAACAACCTCTACTAGTGAGAAAGGCTGGATTTGAGAGGGACCTGACCTCTCAATGTCTACATTCTTACTCTACTAGTGACCTACGTCTCACCTCCTTGCGCTGTATAAGGCTCCATCCTGTCACTTCAACTCCATATTATTCCAGACAATGGAACAATACTCTTCTCCAGACTGAGGGACTGACCACCTCAAAACTTTAAGGGTGATGGACTGATTACATCGTCTTAAAGTATCTTCTGCTTCTATCAACTTTGCTGTACTCGACTGAAGAAGCCTACTGTGTAGGCGAAACGTTTCGAAATAAAGATACCTAACTGTTGCATATGTGTCTTACCTAAACAACCTGTCGGTATTTTATACCATTTTATTGTTCAACTACTTACGTCACTGTCAGTACCTACTTACCTCACTGCCAGTACCTATTTTCCTCCTGCTAACGCTATTTTCTTTCACCATGTCAGGTGAGAGGTGACTATGGGCGTGACCTGGGAAGGTGGTGGGCGTCTCAATGCCCACACCCGCCCACTGACTCTGCTGACGCTGCTGACTCTGCTGATTCAAGGATCTCAGGCTTCCAGCTGTATTAAGGAATTTACATGGGACAATACAACGGTAATGTGTGTGTGTGTGTGTGTGTGTGTGTGTGTGTGTGTGTGTGTGTGTAGTAATAGTAGTAGTAGTAGTAGTAGTGGTAGTTGTTAGTTGTCAAAGGCACTTGTCGAGGGTCACTTGGCCTGTTATCTGTAGTGTGTGTATGTAGTAGTAGTAGTAGTAGTTACTAGTTGTTAAAGGCACTTTTCGATAGGCACTTGGCCTGTAGTTTGTGGTGTGTGTGTGTGTATTCCAATATATACTTGTATACAAGTATATTTCCACTCACCGCCTTTCTTTCCTCTCCTCCTCTCCACCCACAACCTTCCTCGCTTACATAGTCTCCCCAGATCCTTCACAGCCATTCTTGTTATCGTTCTCACGAAGTAAGCAAAATGATTTGTTTCAGAAAACGGTGACCTTGGAGGGCAGGGGGAGGTCGGGGGGGACGCACAGTGTTTGGTTTTTAAAAAAAAAGGGTTCCCCACCGTGGGCTCAGCTCACTCCACAAACCCTCAGGTTTTCCAAAACCCTTTTTTACAGCCACTCAGAAAACCCGGTAAAAGGCGCCTTTTTAAAGACTCTCTTGGTTGGGGGACCTTGTGACGTTGAACCAAAATTGTTGGAATGTTTTAAATTCAAAAGGCCCTTTAAACCCAGGGTTTTTTACAAAATTCATAATATTTGAAAAAAGTAACCAAGAAATTTCATATACTGGTATAAATGTAGAAAAGTAATTAGTACCTTGTATCAAAGTCACATATAAAATTCCTACTTCAACATTTTTTAATATATTATAAATATAAATATTTTTTTTTAATATAAAAAAAAATATAAAAAATATATATATATATAAAATTATAAAAAAATAAAAATTTTTAAATAATATAAATATTTATTATTTTAAAATATATATATATATATATAAAAATTTTTTATATATAATTTATTAATAAAATATATATTTATATATATTTTATATAAATATATATAATATAAAATTTTAAAGTTTACAAAAAACTCTTTTTTTTGGTTTTTTACATTTCCCCCTCAAAAACGGCAGTAAAAGTGACGAAAGACGACCGCGCCTAAACTGCCATCCATCAAGGTCGTCCACAATTTTATTTTTTCCTTTGGGGTTGGAAAAAAACTAACAGTTCTTCAAAATATTCAGTTTACATTACATTTCGGGGAAAAATCCATAAACCAAAAAAAGAAATTCTTTTCCGGAGCAAAAAAATTACCAAAATTTCCCTTTTTGTTTTTATTTTTAATTTCTTAAATTTTTTTTTGTTTTCGTAAGGGCTACTTTGGGTATTTTGTATTTGTTTTTTAAATACATTGTACATTATTTGTCGTTTTCCCAAGAAAAAAAATTTGGATGACGGGAGGTTTTTCAGGGGCAGAAATATTGTTTTAAACTCTACCCAAAATATGCCCTCCGAAAATCATTCTGAAACTATCTCATAAAATTATTTTTTAAAAGCTGAAGATCTTGGGTTTAAAGGTTAGGAAAGTTGGGTTATTTGGGTTTAGTTGGGTAGGTTAGGTTAGGTTACTTAGGTTAGGTTGGGTTGGGTTAATTTTAGGTTGGGTTTTTAGGTTACGTTGGGTTGGGTTTGGGTTTAGGTTAAGTTAGATTGGGTTAGGTTAGGGTTAAGTTAGGTTAGGGTTTGGTTAGGGTTAGGTTGGGGAAAGGGTTGGGTTAATTTTGGTTGGTTTGGGTTTTTAAGTTGGGTTTTGGGTTTAAAGGTTTTGGGTTAATTTAGGTTGGGGTTGGGGTTGGGTTGGGTTAGGTTAGGTTTAAAGTTAGGTTAGGTTGGGTTACTTTAAATTTGGGTTAGGTTAATTGGGTTAGGTTAGGTTGGGGTTAGGTTGGGGGTTTAAGGTTGGGTTAGGTTGGGTTTTAGGTTACGTTACGTTACTTTTACTTAGGTTAGGTTAGGTTAGGTTTTTTTAAAGTTAGGTTGGGTTACTTTGGGTTAGGGTTTGGGGTTAGGTTAAGTTGGGTTTAGGTTAGGTTAGGTTACTTTAGGTTAGGTTAGGTTACGTTAGGTTTGGTTTTCGTTTTTAAGGTTAGGTTAGGTTAAGTTGGGTTTTTGGTTAGGTTACTTTTTGGGTTGGGTTTCGTTTTTTTTGGGTTGGGTTTTGGGTTAAGTTTTCTTGGTTGGGTTTAGGGTTGGGGTTTAGGTTACGTTAGGTTGGGTTTAAATTTAGGTTAAGTTGGGTTAAAGGTTTTGGTTTAAAGGTTTAGGTTATTTAGGTTAGGTTAGGTTGGGTTTTATTGGGTTTGGGGTTAAGTTGGGTTTAGGTTAGGTTGGGTTTGGTTGGGTTTATTTTGGGTTTGGGTTAAGTTAGGTTGGGTTTAGGTTAGGTATAGATTTTGTGACAAAAATTTATGTCGGAAAAAAAGGGGGCCTTTCGGGAGACCTCGATCCCGGATCAAGAACATTTTATCACTTGTCGAACCCACGACAAAAAAACTCCCAAACAAGGGTAACACCGGCAACACCCTCATGAACAAGTCAGATGCAAAGAAAGTGAACCGTCACAGCAGCTTGTGCCCTTTGAATCCTCAGTTATAAGTTTGCACCCAATAACTTCACTTAACTTTCCCAGGATTACTACCCAATCTCCGAAGCTTAAGCGAGTTTATTCTCCCACACCTGATAGGGGCCCACCTGCCCTTTTCACTCACGGGGGGTTGGCTACCTACATGTGACCATGCCCTTTTTGGGGGGGGTAAACCTCAGGACCTCTCTACCCCCCCTATTTAAAACCCCGGGGGGCTTTGTTCTCTGTGTAAATTGAAAAATAAAGGGTGGTTGGAAATGTCTTCAAAAAAAAATTTTCAAAACCCTGCATTTTGAAATCTTATTTAAAATTGCGGGGCCGGGGGAAAGTCTACCTTGGGTTTTTTTTTTGAATTTTTTTTTTTAAAATTCAAAGAAATTTTTAAAAAGGTTAGGGAAACAACCTAGCAAAATTACCTCTCAACCACCATAAAGAGGGCCTACCTGCAGATTAATCACAGTTTGGCCCCCAAAAAATTTCGGTCTGTTACATTTTTAAAAATCTGTCGTGTTATTTTAAAATTTTCCCAAACGGTTTTGTGGCCATACTTCGTTGTGTACAGTCCAGGGTGGCAGCGCCCTAACCCCCTCTCCCCCGCAAAAACAAGGCCTTCTCTCAGCCCAAAGGACTTTTTAAAATTTGGGTGATTTTTCCCAGTAAATTCTTCCTTGTAAAAATTTCCCTGCCCCTCTGTTAAAATTTATTTTAATATAAACTTTATTGGGTTTTTAAAAAATTAAATTATTTTAAATATATTTTATAAATATATTTTATTTATATTTAAATTTTAAAATATATTTATATATATAAATAAATTTATATATTTATATATATATATTTTAAAAAAAAAAAATATATATATTTATATATATATATAAAATTATTTTTATTTATTTAAAATATATATTTATATTTTTATTTGGCAAAACCTTGAAAAAAATTTTTGGTAAAACCAACTTGTTTTTATATTTAACAAAGGGGAATTCATGACTTGTTTCCCCAAATTTATCTCTCACAAATTTAATTTTGGGCTTTTCTTTGGGGGGACTTTAAACCCAAAGATTCATTTTAAGAAGTAACTTTGAATGAGAAATTACTATAATTAAAGTTTTCTGATAAACCCAAAATTTCACTTCTATCATTTATTTTTCTTACTGTAGCTAAATTTTAGTTCGTTAAATTTTCTTTTGAGACCCTTATATCTGGAAATTTTTTTTTTTTTGGGCATAAAGCGATTAAAAAAGGAATTCGGGAATTGAAAAAACCAATAAAAAACCCTCCGTGTATAGTGCCCCTATCTTTTAAATTCCCATGTAGAAAAAGCTTTTCCAAAAAAGGGAATTAGAAGCATTACCTTAAACCCAAAGAGCTGACTGCTTTGTGGGAAATTTTTAGCTTTGTTAGTGGGAAAGTTTCAATTATTTTTAATGTGCCCGCACAGCTGGGGATCTTCAGTGGTAGGGTTAAAAAGGAATGCAAAAGTTCGCCCACCCTCTCTCTCGTGGCCCCCCATTCACCCTCTCTGAAAACGGGGAGTAGTCCATTTAAACCCATCTCTGAAATTTTGGTGATAGTCCCCAGTCACCCATCTCTGAAAATTTGGTGAGTAGTCCCCAGCCCCCATCACAGAAAAACTGGTAAAGTAGCCCCCAAAGTCCCCCAATCTCCGAACTGGTGATTTGCCCCAGTCAACCCATTCTGAAAAACTGGTGATTTAAGTGTCCGGTTCGCCCCTTCCTTATTTTGGTGGTAGTCTCCATAAACCCTTTCCTTTTAAACTGGTGAGTATCTCCAGTCACCCTTTCTCTTTAATTGGAAAAGTAGCCCCCAGCCACCCATCACAGTAACTTGGTGAGTAGCCCCCCAGTCACCCTTCTCTGTAACGGGGTAATTTGGGTCCCCAGTCACCCATCACAGAAACCCTGGTGAGTGGGCCCCCAAAGTCACCCATCTCTGTAACTGGTGCCTTTAATGGAAAAGGTTTTGAAATCATAAAAATACTCAAAAACGGGGTGGCCGCCCAGTTTCCCCAAAATTTAAAAATAAAAAAAAACTAATAAAAAAATATATTAATAATAAAAAAATTTTAAAAATTAATAATAATAATTTTTTAAAAAAATTTTTAAAAAATTTTAAATAATAAAAATAAAAAATTAAAAATAATAATTTTTATTATCTTTTTTGGTCCCATTTTTGATTTCTGAAAATTTTGCTCCCCTTCAGAATCGGTCAAGCAAATTTTTGTGTTTACCACCCCTTTTTATAAAGCTTTAAGGGCCTTTAAAGGAAAGCTTGAGATCAACATGGTGTGTACTGTGTGTACATTAGGCGAAACTTTGGTGTGTACTGTGGGGCCTTTGGGGCGTAAAAGATGTGTACTGGGGTGTATTTTTGGCGTACAGGGTGTGTACTGTGTTTTATTTTAAGGCGACATGATTTTGTCTGTGTGAAACTTTAAAGGGTACGGTTTGTGTATTGGGGTACTTTTAGGCTACTTGAGGGTTACTTTTGTGAAATTTTTAGGGGGACAGGGGTTTTGTACTGTGTGTTTTTGGGCGTAATGATGTGTACTGTTGTGCTTTGGGCGTACATGACGTGAAACTGTGTGTATTTTAGGCTTACATGGTGTGTACGTGTGTACTTTGGGGCGTACATGGTGGTACGTGTGAAATTTTAAGGCGTACTGATGTGAAACTGTTTTGTACTTTAGGCGTACTTTAATGTGTACTGTGTTACGTGGGGAACTTTAAGGCGTAAAATTATGTGAAATGTGTGTGCTTAGGGGTACAGGGGATGTGTACTGTGTGTGCTTTAGGCGTAAATGGTGTGTACTGTGTGTACTGTGTTATTTTGGCGTACAT